CCAGCCCTTTGGGTTCTGCTCCTAAAAGCTAGTACACAGCAAATGATCACAGACTATACATCTGGAAATGACCTTGAGAGGTCATCTGATCCATCCCCCTGTCCCTGAAAAATTCCTGCTTGATGTTGGTTTAAACTGCTTTTAACCTTCAATGATGGAGATTTATTTGACCTCTCTAGGTAACCTCTATTCCAGTGCTTCACTTTACTGTTAGAAAATTTCCTAGTTCTAGCTTAACTTCTTGTTGCAGTTTAACCTGTTGCTGCTTGCCCCATCCCTACTGGACATGAAGAAAGTTTTCTAAACTTCATCTTTTATGCATTTGAAGGCTGTTATGGATCCCCTCAGGCTTCCGAAACCTAAACAAACCCAGGTTTTTCAATCTTCCCATGTAGGTAATGTTTTCTAGACCGCTGATTCTTTTTATTGCTCTTCTGCAGATTTTGCCAAATTGGTTCCCATCTTTCTGGGCAGTTTTCCAGCAGAAGTTGCCTCAGTGCTGAGTAGAGTGGAAGAATGACTTAATATGCCTTACATATGACACTCCTGTTTATGCATCCCAGTGTAACATTGGCTTTTTACAACAGCATAACATTACTGATCCTGTCCAGATTGTGATCTGCTATAACCCTTAAACCCTCTTTTGTGTGGTTGATTATTTCTACTTAAAAGTAGTATTTCTCCCCGTCTGTGTTGGCATCAGGCTGGTGTCCCCACACACTCGTGTTTCATTTGTTACTGCATTCCATCCTATTTACTGAATTTCTCGAAGTTGTCAAAACCTTTTGAATTCCAGCCCCGTCCTCCAAAGTGCTTGCAGTCTCTCCCAGCTTCATATCTTCTACAAATTTAATCAATGCATTTTCTAATTGATCATCCATGTCATTAATGAAAATGTTGAATAGTACTGAACCCTGGACTTCCTCTTACTAAACCTCACTAGATACATTTTTCCAGTGTAAGAGTGAACCATTGGAAATTACTCTTTGATTATGGTTTCCAATTGGTCATATAATTAGCAGCATTCCTCTGACCTCGTGGTCCACATACCCACATCTGCCACCCTGCCGCCTGCTGTGAAGAACTGCCACAGTCCACTTGTCTCCCAACTCTATTATTTGCTGTACAGCAGCCCCTTCCTAGCTCTATGCAGAGTCCCAACATCTACTTCTCTTGTGTTCCTTTGTGTGCATGCTTAGAGCCACCCAAGCTACCTGTGCATGTGCTAGATTTGAAACCAAAAGCGACAGAGCAGCATGGCTCTGCTCCTGGGCCAATTAGCTCAGATTTCTCAGCAGAGCTAATTAGCTTGCCTATAGTGGTGCCTAAAGGCAGCTCTGCTGTTTCCCATTCCGGAGAGGTGGCATATGTGAAACAGCATGATGCTGCCCGACATCACAGAAATGCTGGGAGGAAAGAGCAGAGGGGGTAGTTGACCACCCAGACCTTCCACTGTGTCTGCACTTGCCAACCACCAGTTAACCAATGATCTAGGCTCTATCACCTTACTTAAGAGGATGCCATATGCCATGTGAAGCAGTGTCAGAAGCCCTAATGAAGTATGGATATATCCCATGCATTATCATCATCATCATCAAACAAGTACCATGTCCAGTTTTGGGCCCCCCAATATAGAAAGGATGTAGACAAATTGACGAGAGTCTTGCAGAGGACAACAAAAATGGCTATGGAGCTGGGGCACATGACTTCTAAAAAGAGACCTGAGGGAACTGGACTTCTTTAGTCTGGAGAAGAGAAGACGGGGGATTTAATAGCGGCTTTCAACTACCTGAAAGGTGGTTCCAAAGAGGATGGAGCTAGACTGTTCTCAGTGGTGACAGGTGACAGAACAAGGAGCAGTGGTCTGAAGTGGCAGCAAGGGAAGTTTAGGTTGGATATTAGGAAAAACTGTCTCTCTAGGAGGGTAGTGAAGCACTGGAACAGGTTACCCAGAGAGGTGGTGGGATCTCCATTCTTGGAGGTTTATAAGACCTGGCTAGAAAAAGCCTTGGCTGGGCTGATCTAGTTCCTGCGTTGAGCAGGGGGTTGGACTAGATGTGACCTCCCAAGGTCCTTTCCAACCCTCATTTTCTCCAAGTCTGTGACTCTGACGGGGGCAAGCAAAGTCCAGCCCACGGGCCAGATCGAACCTACGGTGGACTCCATTTCCCAGCAGCCCCTGCCTGCATCACTGCAGCCAGTTTCCATGGAAGCCCCAGCAGCAGGGCTGTGACAGTGCAGGGCCAGGGTTTCCATGGAAACCGGCACCAGCAGCACTGGCAGAGAGCACAGCTGAGCAGGGAGCTGCTCCAGGGCTGGGATCTTGCATTGGTGACAGCATGGTCCAGAGCCGGGGCAAAGCTGCAATCCTCTGCCTGTCACGGCACTGCCATTCTTGGGGTCTCCTTGGAAGCCAGCCACAGCGACGTGGGCAAGGGCTGCTGGGAAATGGAGTCTGGCTGCTGGCGGCATCCGCCATTTTGCCCACGCCTGCTCTATGATCATCATCCTCTGCATCAAAATGCATTTGTTCTTTTAGTTATGTGATAAGTTAATTTTACTAAGTTATCTCCACCTAATCTTTATTATTGAATTACAGAATGAACAGTGAATTAGTTTCAATTGTAAAATCATTCATCGGTAATCATTTTCTCTGGTGATGACCTTTGGCTGGCCAGAACAGGTGTGCTTGGTTCTTCTGTAATCCTGCAGGCCTTGATTTCAACACCATTTTCTGATAACTTTTTTTTTCCTTCCCCAAATGCTGGGGAGAATTATCAAGAGAAGGAAGGGAGTGGCACTGAATGAACACAAAATTACACTCATCATCAATCATTAGCCTCTAGCAACTTCCAGGGAATTGTAAATTGCCGACTAACAAGGGGAAATTAGCTTGATAAAATCACCATTAGTGTCAGTTCAGAGTGATTTAAAGGTTAAAAGTTGTAGCTGTGTTTTTTGTCTCTGTCGCTGTTATTTATCTGCATTGGTTCCCTGAAGCCACAGTCCAGTAAAGCACCAAAGCAAATGCTTAACTTTAAGCATGTGAGTAGTTATCCTAAAGCAGAGGCATAGCCGGGCAACCCTGAACCTTGAGCAGCTACTGCAGTACTCAGGGCAGCGCTGGCTGCCACGGTGCTGATCACAGCAGCACACCACCACTGCAGTTGTGGCTGTCGTGCATGCCGCCCCTTCCCTCTCGCCCAACCCTGCTTGGTCCCCTTTAGTAGCATGACTCCTGAAGTCAGTAGAACATGCACATCCAAGGAAGCTGGTTGTGTATGGGCCAGCCCCACGCTTCAAAAATTATGTGATTGGCTACAAATCTGCGAGGGATATAACTAGACCTTGGTGGTAGAGAACTACTAGCCATATGTAAGAGAAGGTCCACTGGCTGGTATTGTTATGGCTTCCTTGATAGCAAAGCAGTGGTGCCAGTTCATGTTATTTGAGGTTCTGCTCCTATAAATCTGGACTTCTTAAAACTGCATAGCAGGTGAAAGTTGGACAGTGCTGTATATGCATATAGATGGAGAGCAGGAAATAAGGACGAACTGTTTTGGGGGTTTGTTTTGTTAAGTTGGAGCAGAGGTGCATTTGCAGGAAATGAACAAAAGGAAATCTCAGTTTCTGCAAGAGCCACCCACGGTGCTGGAAATCCTACGATTCAAAAACCATGAGATTTTTTTTTTTTTTTTTTTAAACCAAGTATGATTGGTTCATATTTGCCTTCTGATTTCTTGACCTTTCCAATTCAATCTCTCACTTCCACATGCTTGCCTGTGCAACCCTGAGGGCTAGAAACTTCATTTTTTTTTTTTTTAAATGATTAGAGCCAAAATTCTCATGCAGTCACTTGACTGCACCAGTTGGGACATAAGAAAAACACCAGATACTGAGAGAGTTGTGGTAAAACCATGTGGGTGGGCAGCACCACTACATGAAAAATATCACCAAGGATTCTTGTTTATTGTGTTCATTATTTAATAGAAGTACTTCATCTAAGGTTATAAATCAGCAGCGTCAACAACCCTTTTCTTATTTGGATACCAAACAATCACAGGTAAGCCAGTTCATTACTATAGCTGGTTATTCACTTTGGAAAAGATGAGAATTTTAAATAGGTTAGCTCTCTCATTTTCATAGCTCTTATATAAAACTGCTCGACAAAGATACATAATTCAGAACTGATGTGCTGTGACGTTAATGTTTCATTGTCTTTGAACAGTTCAGTAACAAACCAATCATTTTTGTTAAGACATCTGGTTCTTTTGAGTCATAATATCATATTTTAGAAAATAAAAGCACTTGTTTTCATAGATTTTAATGCTAGGAGGGATCATTGGGATCATCTAGTCTGACTTCTCGTGTAAGACAAGCCACACAGAGAACACTACCCAGTAACTTTGTGTTCCTTTGTTGAATACTTTGTTGAATACTTCAGTGTTTGCTGTTGAAGCAAGCTGCACTTTTACCCTTCAGAAAACAGCTGACCACAGCAGTGGGATTCCAGTAAGAAACTCAGAATTTTATTGTTGCAAGCTCTGAAATATGCATTGTGGATGCTGTCACTTTTTGTTTGCAACTTAACGCAGAGAATTTGCTTTTTTTATCAAAGAAACCATAAATGAACAGGCTATCTCTTTCTCTGTAGAAGAACTTACCTGTTCTGTGGTAAATATTGATATTGCTGTTTTAAAAAGATAAGCACTAATCATTGTAGTAATTTATGTTTGCAAGGCACAAATTTCAGAGCCAGATTCTCAACAGATATAAATGGGTGAAGCCAGACCCACTCATTTCAGCAGAGGGTAAGGCCTTTTACATCAGCTAAGGAACCTGTCCTGGTGTATACTCTAGTGTCTTTTTGCATCCTCCACCTTTATGGGTCTTAAAAGCTCTGAGTTGCCCAAACAGTCTAGGCTTTCCATATGGTTTTTCGGATCAGCAACATTGGTCATTGTGTGGCTTTCATTGATGGAACTGATTTGTGTTTGCAGGTGTGAGAGCTGTGGCGCTGTCTTCCACTCTGAGTGCAAAGTGAAGTCTGTCCCTTGCCCCAGGTGTGTGCGCAAAGAGCTGCAGAAGAAGCAGAAATCCTTCTGGAGGAGACTCAATATGGACGAGAGCATGGAGGAGTCTTGCACCATGTTTGAGCTGTCCTACCAGAACACATGACTTCCTTCAGTTTCTTGGCAACTACAAGAGATCCTCTTCTGCATTCACCTACTCAAGCAGCTGCTCAGCTAGCCAGGCAGAAATCTTATTGTGGAGATGATGTCTCACCTTGATTATTCGCTAGTACTGGCCAAAAGGGCCATGAAATCAGGTGGGCTTTAAACTACCAACAGCCAAATTACATTTTGTGGAGAAGTTGAACCACTAGGTTTCATGCAAAATGTGGTTTACTTGAAATGCTTTATGCTCAGCTAATGAAGGTCCCAGCTTTTTCTTTTCCACCTCAGGAGAAGATTTTTCCTTAAGGCAGAAAATATTTCCTGCCAAGACCTGTGGCTAATTATTATTTTTGCTCTTGTTGTGGCTCACCCAGAAACCATGAATCATCCACTTTATATTTATGTATTGTATTTATTATTAGCCTTGGTTGAGGTTCTGATGAAGTGTTCTGCAGGACTGAAGAAGGTGGCAGTCGTGCTAAGCCCACCTCTTCTTTGTAATGTCAATGCATGGAAAGCCATTTTAAGGGAAGAGCATGTAGGGATTTATTTTTTTTGCTTCCTGAACAAGATGTCACTTCTAACTTCCTAATTTAGGATGCTTGCAAACATAAGACCCAGGATAATTCCTTTAGGTGTGCCCATGCATTTATAACTGTCCCAGCAAAATACTATAAAAAAACAGCGGGGGATAATTAGTATTTTGGGGTCAACAGAGACTTTCGTTGAAGCACAGTTGTGCCCTGTCATTGAAGCATCATTGCTTAATTTTATACTTGTTATTCTTGTCTGTCTGAGCCACATCCTCATTTCCATCAATGGTATGTTGGTTCAAATCCATATTGATTTCATGGTCAAAGCCTTTTTAAGGTTTATTTTAATCACCTTAAATTAATGAACAATGCTTTGCTCAAAGACGTGATAAATATGCTTTCCTAACCTGAATCTACTAGGCCTACAGGAAAAGAAGCCTCTCCCACCTTTTAAGAAAAATGTATAAAGTTTTCCTAACTCCTGAAACATAATTCAGTCTCTTTGGTGTATTCTTCTTGTGCAGTTTGTATACTAGCTGCACTGAGCCATGGCAACATCAGGCAGATCCAAAGGGATTTTGGTACTTCAGTAGGAACTTACGATACAGAAAGAATAGTTCATGGAAGTGTGTTCTGCCCTATGTACTTGGAAAACTAATTGCAGCAAGTTGCATCTGCTGTGAAAAGAGAATTTGTCATTTGATTGGGAAAACAAGTCACCACTGACAGTGTCTAATTTGTCTCATTATTAGTGAGATGTGATCATGATCCCCTTTGCTTGAATCCATTAAGTATCTTAATTCTTTCTCCAGTGATATGTATATTACATATTACATACATATGTGTTTGTGTGTATATTTGTAGAAAGCAATTACAGTGTCAGGAGACAAATTCACAGACTAGTGTGCATGCGCATTTATTTGCCGCTGCTACCAAGCAAGTTTGCTAAATTGCGGGCCAGCAGTCTATACTTCCTAAATAACTGCTTGACCCAACAGCCTCAGATATTAGCAGAAAACAGAGCCCTGTTCATCAGAATATCAAGCTAATTGCTGGATTATTATAAATAAAGGAAAAGCAGGCATAGCACTTAAAATAAGTGGTTGACAGGCCAAAAAAAGTTGCATTCTCTCCTGTTCAGATATCAGTATTTCTCTCTCTCTTTTTTGCTTTCCAGGGAAAAAATTGCTGAACCTGAGCTCTTTTTTTTTTAAAATGATTAGGTATAGTACATGTAGGGAAGCATGTTTCTATAGATATTAGTTAGGCGGCCAGTGCCTTTGCCTTCTGTAAGACCCTATCACTATATGTTGGGGGAGGGGGAGTCTTCATTGTAATGAATATAGTACTGACTGGTGACGGACCCTCATAGTAAACTACTTTTTAACCCAGGAAGTTTAAAAGATTCCCATGTGCAGTGTACTTGCTGTCTGGAAATGAATTGGGCACCCTTATTCCTAAAATTAATATTTCCTCTATACAGTACTTCCCCACAAGTCAATGTACTTTACATTAAATGCTTTGTTTATCCCTAGAAATTAAAACGCTCTGTGGGGATCCAACCTGGCTCCCACAGGAAGAATTCCTGGCACATTCACAATTGTAAACACTTGGGGAAATATTCTGGAATTAGTCATGCAAATGAGAAATGTGGTAGCATTCGTTATATAAACAAAACACTCCCACACTATTTTCATTATGTGTCACTTAGCCGTCACATGACAAAGCCAGCAGCTCTGAAATCATCAGGAGTTGGCTGGTATAACTTTGAATTAACTTCAAATACAAAGTCAAGTCACAAAAAGGGCAGTTGTGGTTTTCATACCATAACACATCCGAACACAGAATACTTTACAGCATTGGTTCACATCCAGTCCAGTTTTGCTGGGGGGGTATTTGTGTGCATTGGCAGGTACCGTATGACTTTAAAGAAGCAAGTTCCTTACTCTGTGTATTATTAGCTTATTTGGTGTATGTTTTATTTCCAAAAGGCACCAGCGCCTTTCTGGATATTTCAAGCCACATTCTGGAATAATTAGAACATTCAAATGGCATCACTGGAGTTGTTCTGGATTTATGTGAGTGTAATGGAGAGCAGAATTTGACCTTTTAACTTTGAATTATGGCTAAATAAAATATGGTATAAATTAATCTTTTGGAGCTGGCATGACATTTATGATGGCTGCCATTACCCCAAAGGGTAATGTCCTAACATATTAGCATCTACTGCCAATACCATAAGCTTTGTATGAAGATAAATCATATTGTACGGGAGAGATTCTTTGTTTAAATACAGCAGTGTTCCAAGGGAGCCAATTCCTAAAATAACTTTATGTTCATTTACACCACCAGACCAGTAGCATTAGCTTCTTCTGGTAGCAATAGTAGGAGATTCTAGTGGGCCTTGTCACATGGTAATTTTAGTTGGCTCCCGGAGCTCTTAACCCCCGGATGGACCACACATTAACACCTTTAAGTGGCTTAAGGCACTCGTTATGCTGCTCCAAGGCTCCGGCCAGACTCTGTCTGATCTGCATAACTTCGCATTATCTGCATAACCTCCATGAAGGTGCAGCCACTCTCCACAGCTGTGCTTCTCAAGTTGAAGTTCTCCAGTATCCCAGGATTTTTTACATGGTGCTTCTGTGTACAGCTGAAAATGGCAACAGCTTGAGGTGGGTCAGGGCCAGTTTTGGGGGGGGGGGTGGAGTGAGGCATGGAAAGCCAGAGTCAGCATACCAGGATGATGCTGCAGGACAGGCAAAGCATGGCCCAGCACAAAAGAGAGCTGCATGAGGTGGTGCTGAGGATGAGGTGGGCGCTGCATGGTGGGGGCTCTGGCACTGACTCTGCTGTCCCACCCAGTGAGGTGCTGATGGCTCCGTCACTGCCCAGCCTGAGAGATTGCACCATGCTGCCCTGCTGGTTTCCTTCTGGAGCACCATGCCATGGCTGGTGGGAGCATTTAGTAGCCCCAGTAGTGGCAGGGGAGGATAAGGAGGTGCTGTTTCATCATGGTGAGCCACCAGCATGCTACCTGCACTAGGCTCCAGGGGAGGCAGGTGTTGTTGCTGAGAAGAAACCAGAGGGGCAGCGCACAGTGCTGTGCTCCTGGGCCAGCCAATGATGGAGCAGTCAGCACCTCGCCGAGCTGGACAGCAGAGCCAGTACAATGCCATGGCTGGTGGGAGTATTTAGCAGCCCCAGCGGCTGGGGACAATGAGGAGGGGCAGGAGTTACTGCGTCATCACTGCCCATGCCAGGGTCCAGGAGAGGCAGGTGACTTGAACAGTTACCTGTTCCTGCCCCCCTTCCCCAAGCCCTCTCTCACCCCCCTGCTGGTAGAGCAGGGATAGAAGCCTGGCCTGGATCACTAGGCTTGTAGTGGCAAGTCACAGCTGTGCAGGTGGGAGATGGAGAAGGTTTTTAGCCTTAAGGTGTGACTGCTTCAGACTTGAGCCAGCACTAACACCAATCAACATTTGTGTGGCTCACAGCATAAGGTGTAACAAGGCCTGAAGAAATCTGCTTGGGAGACATCTTGCTCCTTTATTCATTAAAAGAGTTGAACCCAAGTGTATATCAGCATGCACAGGAAACTGCATCCTCTCGGGCTCTTCTGTTAGGCTCACTGCATCTTGGAGCCATAATGAAGGGACCAATTCTGCTCTCCTTTGACCATAGTGGGAGTAGGATTAGGCCTGAATTAATTTTCAAAACCACAAAGCAAAAAGTGTAAATTGAAAATACTATTAGTAAAAAGTAAAAAAAAAAGAAATTTGTTACGTGCTGTTTCTATGCTGGCACCCACTAAAATGGACAAGAACACCTAGCAGCATGAACAACAGCCATTCTGCTTGACTGCCTATAGTTCCTACGCGTAGACTAGGCTGCCGCAAGCTCCTTCTTGGTATTAACCTGTGTGTATGCACCAAGTGGAAAAGTGCACAGGATTGCTCTGATGTGCAAATCTCTCCCTTCCACAACTAGAACGTATATATTTGTGCTGGTCTCCTTGTCTTCCTTTCTTGTTGGCAAGGAGGTGAATATGTACAGTAGCTTTTCATTGAGAGTCAAAAGTAAAATGCACAGCTTTGTCTGATACACAATGAAAATGTGCTCTTTGGGCACCTAGACATGTGATGGAGCTCTGCTCCAATGTGGGCTAATTAACATACATCGGAGCAGACTGGATTAATTGAGTCTGCTGCAAGTTTGCTGGCATGTGCTAAGTAGTGTGCTCCAGCAGCCCCCACATCAAACGAGTTTTTGTTAAAGCACCCCTGCTGCCATTTTGAAATGTGAGCTACTGAATACACGTGCCATTGTGAATGCTTTAATTAGAGTGGCTCTCAGAGCCGCCTCTACCCTGGAGCACGTGTATAGACGCCCTTTGCTCCTGGGGAAGAAGTTGCACGTCAAGTTACTACTCTTATGTGCTTGTACAGAACTAATTAATGCTATAGATATAGAAGTGGCTAGATTATTGTCTGACTCTTACAACTGCTTAGAATACTTTGAAATATCAATTTAGTTAGCCTGAGATTATTTTTAACCTAGTACAGTTTAAGAGAATGTGTGCAATTTTCTCTCTTCTTCCCTCTTACCCCACCGCTAGCCCTTTTCACCTAAGTAAAGACCTAGCTAGAAAATGAAAGTTGCAGCCTTTTTTACATTGTCAACCCACACAAGGGAAATTTCCAAAGCCTTGGCTTTAGGGGTCTGAATCAGTCGTTGTCCTAATCTCTGATGTAAAGTGTATTTTTACTGGCAACTGTTTTGTTTTTGACTGGAAACTCTTAACAGTTTTTCTCCCTTTAGCTTAATAGTTACTATGTTGTCACATGGAAGAACAAAGGGGTTTTGGTGCATGTGTTTTACCTGTTGCTTTGAGCTCTTTGGGCCTGCTATGCAGAATTCTTTATGTAAAAAACTTTCTTGTCCTCCTCCTCCTCCTCCTTGCCAGTGCTGACTGGTGAAAGTTGATTTCTCTGTACTGTGACACAGTGTTCTGGCTGGTACGTGCTGGTAGAAACTTGCTAGAAACTTGTAGTCGAGCTGGTTTCCAAAATATCCAAGGTAAGATGCCTTGGGCAGGAACCTCAAGTTCTCTGTAGAGCTGAGGGCCTTGGCTTGCTCTACCAGGAGTGAATCTTCGGGGAAAAGCAAGAGCTGCTCTTGTCAAGTCTTCTCCTAAACATTAACATTGTCACCTGTGTACGTTATATAACATATTGATGATGATGTCCTGTAAGTTTAAAAAATATATATATATATATGGGAAGCCTCATTACATTGAGACGAGGAAATTGAGGGCCTTTACTTTGCTTTCTCCCTGTGAGAATGGAAACCATTGAAAAAGCCTGTCTTTGGGAAAGTTATGGTCTGCATTGCAGCTGACTCTTGGTCCCTATAGAAGGGATTTAATACACTCATCATTATAAATTTATCTCTTACTTCTTGCTGCAGGTTTCCTTCTCTGTCTTACCATCTCTTTTTGTCTTCCTTGCTCACAGTGCTGAGCCTTGCTGCTAGGCTTCAAGCTTCAGAGCCCATGGTGTAGCTATTGAAACAGTGGAGCCTGGTGGTTCCTCCTTCATAATTTGCCTTCTAATTTTTCTTTCCCAGTAGGAGTGCCTTACAGTACTGTATATTAGTGGCTTTGTTCCTGTTGTGAAGTTCCTGACTGAATCTGTTGCTTGACTAATACTCTCCTGTCACTCGCAGGATTCTCAGCAATGGGGTAAATCAATTTGCTTGTTCCCCCTAGCCCAGTGGCTCTGTAGACAGTATATTGACTCTGTATACACCAAGCTGCATGCAAACCTTTCACTTTTGCTTAAATTGGTGCCTTAATTTCTAAAAGTGAAGGAACCGGTCAGCAATGTTCTGTCACATTAAAGCATATTTGGGATTTGAGCTGTAAACCCTGACTTATGTCAGTGTCCATTTTACCAGGAACTGTAACAATGAGATTTCTTAATTGTATACACTTGGGGGTGGGGGGCATACTGGGTTTGAAGGTAACTCGCTTTTTGTTTCTGTTGTGTACACTCAGGAAAGTGTACCTTCAGTAGGAAGGTAAACTGAGTTAGAACGTGACTTTCAGCAGTCACCTTAACTAACGTGGTATTAAACCTGACTTTGCAGTAGAGACGGAGACCAGTAATATTTAACTGTGTGCCACCTGGTCCTCCTGAAACCATTGATTAGCTCAAGGCCAACCAACTTGATGTTAAATGTAACTGAACCTATGCTGCAAACTGTGTTTACTGGCTTAACACAACTCCTCAAGCTCCTTAATTTCATGAAGATCAGTACAGAGAGGTTTGATCAATGTCATCCTTCAAATGTGCTTGAGTGGCTTCAGTCCAACAAATAAGCATGGCATGTGCAAGTCTAGGGGAAAGCTTTGATATGTGCCTGTTCCAATTATGTCTTTTTAAGTCCCATATCTAAACAAATAGCAGGAATCCCATTTAAAAATGGCATTCATGTCTGTATTCTAGCTGCTTGAGGACTAAAGAGCACAGGAACCAGTTGTACACATTCTGCTATTTCTTGGAGACCAAAGGTTCACATGCTGACTTGGGTCATGTGTGAAGTGCTGGTTTCTGCTAAATCCCGGCATTAATCTACATCACAAAGCCAACACGTTTGGGAGTAATCAGAAAGCTTGAGAGAACCAGAACTAAAAGGTTATTGCTGGCTAAGACCAATTTGTGGGCTTCGTTGGGACTCATTTGCACTGACTTAACTGAAAAGAGACACTTTTAATTAAACCAATACAAACCCCTACATGGATGTTCTTATTTGGGGGAGGAGAGAGATTGTTTCAGTTTAGTTTTTAAGAGCTTGTCAACAGAATTACTTTGATTTAACTGTGGATGCGATTCCAAACTGATTCTAGTTAGCTCAGTGCAAAAGCCTGGCCTTTTGTCAGTTGAGCTTAAGTCAGCCCTTCACTACTGACGCTAAACCAAAATAAGTAATTTATGAAGTAAAATTATTATGTCTCTACAAGATTCCATACCAGCTCCTCAAACCCAGTTTTTAAACCAATGTAACTTAAGCCAGTAAAACTGGTTCTGTAGGCATGGCCTAAGAACAGGTAGCTTGGGAATTCACACTGGTCTGAACCTAATCCTTCTTGACAAGCACCAAATTCACCCACAACACTTAAGAAGAATGGATTTTACTATTGATGGCATCTCCTAAGTTTGTATGGAACCCTTCTTCCTGGTCAGGTGTCCCGCTCTAGCTATTAACTTATTTATGACAATTATTTTGTTTTTTTTACTTTTGCAGGATTTTTTTGTAATATCTGCACTATTGAATCTCTGTTCTTATTATTGGCAAATGCAATATGTTATCATTGCAACTCGGTAAGTTAAATGATATGTTGAAAATGTACCTGAGTGGGGCTTAATTTGGTTCATTGTTTCACAGCACCAGTCCCTTGTGTATAAAGGCAACTCTCAATAAATGGTACAAAAATATCTCATTGTTATTTTTTCTTTTATTGCAATACTGTAGTGCAGGGGTTCCCAAACTGTGGTACGTGTACCCTTGGGGGTACACAAGACATCTCTGGGGAATATACAAGAGAAATTGTATAATGATTAATTTAATTTTCATTATAATTATAATTGACATTTAAGGGATTAAAATATAAAACATGCTGGTAGGGGTACACGGGCAGCTGCTAAATCTGGAAGGGGGTACTCAGTGAGACAATTTGGGAACCTCTGCTATAGTACCAATAAGACAGACTTAAAAATCTTACTAACTGGTTATTCAGCTCTAAAATCTAGTCTGCTTTAAAACACTGGTCTGCTGAGAAAAGTCCTTCAAATTCTAACAAAAAATAATGTTTTGCTCTTGTGTCTGATCCAAAGCTCATCTGAAATTACTGGAAAGTTTCCCAGTGGTTTCACTAGGCTTTGGATATTTAGACTTTAGACTTGCCCAACTGAGAATCAAAAAGTACTTCACAAATCATTAATGACTGGATTTTCAGGGGAGTGGGGTAACATCTAGAGCTCTAGCTTCAACTAGCGGAAGTTGGAGATGTTCAGCACCTTGGAAAATCAGGCCACGAGTCCTCCAATGCCATTGTGAAAGATGCAAGGATGTAGAAAGGCCACTTTACCCACTCCTGAAATGCAGCCATCTCTGGGGTCATGAATTTTAGCAGAATTTTAGCAAGTTCAAGGACTGTTGTGAAGAAGTTGAGTTCAGTGATGTAAAGCTTACACAAGCCAGGGCAGATAGTCCTCACCATTGAGTCACCCTGTCATGAGTAAACCCTGCCCTCACTTTCCTCTGCTGGGAAGCAGAACACAGGGAGGAAGGGAGGGGGGACAGGTTGTGCCTTTGAGGGCTGAAATAACCTTGTATCATTGGAGACCGGGGTAAAATTCTGACTTGGGTCACAAAGCAAAGCAGGTGGGGTGATCATGTTTGGGTGCACAACAGAACACAGGAGACCTTCACAGAATGGCTGGGGGGGAGAGGGGTCTGCATTTTCCAGAATAAGACAACAATGAGTAAGTGCCAAGTACCCCCAAATTTTGAGACATTAAATATACTTAGTCTATTAAATATTAACTAAATATATTTATAAATATTAATCTATAAATATTAATATCTATAAATATTAACTAAATATACTTAGTCTGTTAAATATTAACTTAGACATTAAATATACTTAGTCTATTAAATATACTTAGTCTCTCTAGGTTTGTTGAGGAAGACATTTTCTTTGTTATGGTTATTCTAAAGTGGGTTTCAATAAGTATAATTTTAAAAATCCACAAAAATGAATCGAATCAGGTTCAGGGGATTGCAAGGAACTTGAAATAAACAGCAAGGCAGAAGCTGAAAACACTTAGATGCCATTGAAATACCATGAAAATTAGATGGCTGTGCTGCTGTTTTTGCTAGTCTACTACCAGTATGCAGGCTAGCAAGGTTAAAGTCAACTTGGGTATCTTTGTACAACACTACAGTCACTTCAGCACAGTATATCCTTCAGTATAGGTGTGCATTGAGGCCCTTTTTTGAAAATCTAAGACAGCCAGCATCAAAAAGCTCAGGATGGAGTGGCCATATGCCCAGCCACCTTTTCACCCCTTTGTGATCCATCCAGGCCAAGGCTAGAGTGCCCCAGTGAGACTTTATGTAGAAGGTTTTGAAGCATTGCTATCTGCGCTCTGCCTTGCCTGTAAATGTTTCTTGAGCCTGTAAAGGATAGATCTGCAAAATGACTTAAGTACCTAATGTGAGGATTAAGCAGGATTCAGGTGCCTAAATTCAATAGCTCAGCGGTTAGATCTCTCCTAGGAAGTGGGTGATATGGAGTCTAAACACTCCTCTGTGTGAAATAATTTGAACCTACATCTCCCATGTCCCAGGACCCACCAAGCCACAGAGTGCTCAAGGGCATCCTGTCACCCTCCCAGTAAAACTGGGGCATTTTGCATGGAATAATTACATATCCAGCCTTTTTAGCCTCAAGGCACTCCTAGAACAATGCCAGCACTTAGCTTTCACTCATGTCTTGACTCCAGAGAAATAATTGGAGCAAGTCTTCTGTTGCAATGACATAAACAGCCCACAACTGGTCAGCCCCTACACAGTGGTGTGTTTTTCACACTCTGGATTCTGATTGGAAACCTGGATTTATCTTGTGAGGCACGTGTAGCTGTTTGAACACCTACCAGTGCTGATATTGCAGAACACCCTTAAAAGGATCTCTCAACACTGCAGCAGCGCATCACTGGCTTACTCAGACCGCAGTGATCTCTTGCCCCTGCCCCACCTTAAAAAAATGATCCATCAGGAGTGTAAACCCTTTGCTCCACAGGTGCATTTGGACTTCATCCCTCTGATGAAACCAGCTGCAAGCAATGAGTTAATGTTTGACTGAAACCAAATGAGTCATGTGATGTGACCATATTCTTTATAAGACCTCTATTTGCCTTACAAGGTGAGTAAAGTTTTGTTGCTACATCTTCTTCCCCTCTTGCTGCAACCTCCCCCTTTCAGTCAATAGGATCAGAGCTGTGAGCCTAACACGTGGCAGACCTGGACGTTCTCTCCTCATGTGACTGCAGGCGAGCAGCTTTTCCCCGCATTGTGCTACGTTTCGCTTTATGGACATTTAAGTGAGCCACGTTCCTCAGAAACCTATTCCCTCTGCTGTCACTTGACAATTTTGGGCTAGAGCTGCAAGCAACATTCATTTTTGGTTTGGGTCAAGTACTGAGGTGCTGTGATTTCTCCCGCCCGCTCCCAAGCTGTTTCATGTTGTAAATACTTTGGAGCTGTGTCCTTGCAGTAAAGTGTAACTGCTGCAATAAAATTCTGCCTCGTTTTCCTGGCAAGAATATACTTAACTGCTGTTTATATTAACCCACAGTGTTGATGAACCTCTGGGTGAGCTTTGCCTTCCTCACCTAAGATGTGGAAGGACACTGAAATGCCAGTCTAGCAGGCCGACACTGCATTGCTGCACGTACTCCCACTTTCCAGAGACAGAACAGGTGTAAACAGCCCTTTGATTTTTTTTTTTTTTAATACTAAACAAGATAGGGGATGTTATACCTTGGTGCATCTCTGTCACAGACTCCCCTCCCAGGTATTGAAAGAGATGATCCAGTGGGCACAACAAGTCCTCAGTTTCTCGGAGATGACTCTCTGGGGATAAAGCTGGACAAATGCCTAACTCAGCCACCTTTCCACATGGTGTTCCAATGAGTTTATTTTCATCCCTCACATCCATATTTCTAGATGCCCTTCACATCAGTTTGCCCAGGTGTTTGGTAAGGCAGATTTCACCAATGCTGCTTCACCTCTATAGTCCAGTCTCTTGGGAGAAGAGGGAGTTTAAGGGGGTTTTTGTCCCTTCCCATACTTTCTGCCCACTCAGTGCCCTTCAGCAGG